CCAAATTGTTTCCTGGACTTAAGAATAATAAATCAATTCCTGCTGCCAATCATACAATACATTCTTTTCCCTTCAAACTATATTTTAATGACATGTTAAATAAAATCATGGTAGTATGGGCAAACTTAAACCCCTAGTGTTTAATTTCACATAGGTTAAGAGATCCCTAAATGGAGGACAGGAAATTGACAATGAGAAGAAAAGTTGAAAAGTTAAGGATTTAATCAGAAAGAAAATAAATAATTAAGAAGGAAGAGAAAAGAGGCAACTTTCATTGTTTATGGAACTGAACCTGCAAATCCCAAGCACATGACTCCAGCAGGCTACCCTAAGGAAATGTAGCTCTTGATGTAAGATTTGTTGCAAGCATAGTTTAGTTTATTGTCATTGCACCTCGTACAATGAAATCAAACACCATTTTCAGTGCATATCATGACCATGACCATGAAAATAAACACAAACACACATCCTTCACCCTCCACACATTGAACTGAAAATCCCGACACCGCACCAATACTGCACTATACAGCAGAATTCAAAAGAATTCTGGCCTGGGATAGAAGCTGTCTTTCAGCCTATTTGTCCTTGTTTTTATTATTCTGTACTGTCTGCCAGATAGTAATAGTTCAAAAAAAGGGTTCCCAGGATGAGATGGATCTTTGAGAATGTTTTGAACTTTCTTAAGGCAGCGGGAGCTATTAAGCTCTTCCAAAGAGGGGAGAGGGTAACCAATGATCTTCTGGGCAATGACATTAACCCTCTGGAGTGCTTTCCTATCTGCCTATGTGCAATTGGCAAACTATACAGAGGTGCAGTAAGTTCAAATACTCTTTATGATGCAGCGGTAGAAGGTCACCAGCAAATTTTCATTCAGTTGCTGTTTTCTGAGAACTCTCAGGTAGTATTATCTCTGCTGGGTCCTTTTGACCAGGGCTGCAATGTGGGCACCCCAGGTCAGGTCCTCTTTTATGGTAACACCCAGAAACTTAACAGTGGCCATTTGCTCCACTCAGTCTCCACTGATAAGCAAGGGCTGGATGTCTGATCTGTTCCTTCTATAGTCCACTATAAGCTCCTATAAGGTCTTATTGGTGTTGAGGACCAAGTTATTGTCTCCACACCACAAAAGCAACCGGTCCACCTCATCTCGATAGGCAAATTCATCCCCCCTGGAGATGAGTCCCACCACTGTTGTATCATCTGCAAATTTAGCAATAGTATTACTAGCGTGAGTGGGAATGCATTCATGCACATAAAGAGTATAGAGTAAGGGACTCAAAACGCAACCCTGTAGTGTACCAGTGTTAAGAAAAAGGGCTGAAGAGGTATGATTACCTAATCTGACCCTCTGTGAGCGGCCAGACAGAAATCCATAATCCAAAGGCAGAATGAATAAGAAAGTCCAAGATCCAGAAGTTTAGACACTAGTCTATGTGGAAGAATTGTGTTAAATGCAGAACTAAAATCTACAAAAAGCATCCTCACATAGCCCCCTGCTGTTCTAGATGAGTCAGAGCAGTGTGAAGAGTGATGGCTATAGCGCTCTCTGTAGATCTATTTCTTCTGTATGCAAACTGGTGTTTATCAAATGTATGCGGAAGACCAGAAAGGATGTACTGGCAGACCAATTTCTTAAAGCACTTCATGATGATAGAAGTGGGTGCCACTGGTCTGTAATCATTGAGGTTATTGATAGGGAACTTCTTTGGCAGCGGAACAATGGTAGAAGCCTTCAAACAAGATGGAATAGTGGACTGGGATAAAGACCAATTGAAGATCCTGATAAAGACTCCAGCCAACTGATCAGCACAGTCATTAAGCACTTGGCCAGAGATACCATCAGGACCAGCAGCCTTTCTAGGATCCACAGCTCTCAAAATGCTCCTCACCTCCTGTTCCTCCACAATGAGGTGGGGGCTACATGTGGCTGATGGTTGCATTTTAGCTGTCTCTTTAGCTGTTAGTCACTTAAATGCTTATAACATTTTTACATTGATAATCTAATGTCTGCCTAAATCTGGAAGTGAGAGTTCTTAAACATGCTCTCCCCCACTCTCCAAAGATATAAAAGAGCAAGCACCTTTGTTTCAGAGGTGGCATTCAACCGGTTCGCACCTATTCGGGAGAACCGGTAGCAGTGATTTGGTGTGGGTCGCAGAACTGATGGTGACCCCTGGCTGGCCACACCCCCAAACTGGGTCACCCCATCGCCCAGTTGCCTGCTTGTCCTGGTTGCTCTCCTAGCTTTCCATACCACGTGGTGGCCATTGGGGCAGCTTGGGTGGATGTGCACATGTGCAGCAGCCCCAGGACATCCGCCTGCCTGCCCGCCCTCCCGGAGCATACTTTCTTCCTTCTCCCGGTGGCGGACGCACCTCTTCCAGCCCAGCCTGGCCAGCAAGCAGGTGGGTGGGCGGATATCCCGGGGCTTCTTGCCCCCCTTGTCGCCAATGCCTGCAGCAGCAGCCCCTCGGCCGGCTTAGCCGGGAGCCACTGTTCCCAGGTTTCTACTCGCCTGTGGTTGGTCAATGCCTCTTCACTTTGCCTGAAGCAGCTGGTCCTTCCCCTCACCCTCCCCTCCTTCGCCTGGCCTGAGAAGGGCAACGGCAGGGGATAGCGAAGCGATTGGGTCCCTATCTTCCCCTCTCTCTCCCCCACTCTCTGTGTCTCTGTGTCTGTGCGTGTGCCGGTCGCGAGTGGAGGAGAAGGGTCACCTGAAGGGACTGGCTGAACAAGGATCGCCAGCTGCGCTGAAAGCGTCTCATCAATTTCCATTTAACATCACCAGTGCCTCCAGCTCCAACCACGCAGAGGCAGACATGCATGTGTGCTTGCCATTCCCACCTACCCACCCTGTCTGCGCGTGGTGACCCTACCCCCCCAATGAGGGAGAAGACTGTGTTTTTGCTTCAGCCCACCCCCGTTGCTGAATTTCACCACCACCGCCTCCTTGGTGGCAGCCGATCATGGGACCACTATCTCCTCAAGTGCCAGCCTCAGTGTTACTCGCTGAAAGTGGGGGAAAAAAACATACACATAAAGCTGAACCAGTGGCAGTCTCAGCAGTAGTCCCAGTAGCAGCAGCAGCGGTGGTTTCACACTGCCCACAGCTATCAGCCGCCCCAAGCTAAAGAAGCTGGCTACATCAGGGGAGTCAATCAGCTGAACGCGCAAAACAAGGCGCCTCGGACTGCCCGCAGTTCTCCTTCCTCCTCCCCCCATCCTCTTTCAGGGGCTTCCCACCCACTACTCTGCTCTGTGTGTGGGTCTGGCCGGCTGCCTCTTTCCCACGCTGCCTTCCCCTCAGCAATTCCGTTCAGCGCTCACCCCCTCTCAGCCCCCCCCACACCTGCTCAATCCCCCACCCCACCTCAGGTCATGAAAGAGATGAGCGAAGGAAAAGGGGGTGGGACTGATGCTGCGGAAGATGCCACCTACGAAGGCAGAAAAGGCCTGGGAAGAATGGAAAGAGCTTTTGCATGCGCTCTCTTCTGAGCCCTACCGCCTGCAAATCCCCCCTCCTCACCTCTTCTCCTTCCCCTAGCCCTGCCAGTGTAGTCTGCAAATCCCCTCACTTTCCACTCCATGCTGCAAAGCTTGACAGCCCCCCAAATGCTGCAGAGCTCCATCCCGCAGCATATTACAAAGCTCAACCTCTCTCTCTCCCTCCCCCTCACCCCACCACCCCGAACACATGCTCCACACGACAACCAGCAGAAAGCAAGTCAATGCAGCTTTCCTCCTCCTTCAGGTTGGGGGGGGGAATTTCCCACTCGGGTTGTTCGTGCCCTGTGGAAGCTCCTCTGTTCGCCGCCGTCCCTTGAAAATAGCGAAGAGCGCTTGGCCCAGCTGCGGCTTTGAGAGAGACAGAGAGAGAGAGAAAGACAGACAGACACTGACAGAGAGAGAGAGAGAGAGACAGGAGAGAGTAGGGAAAAGAGAAGGGAAGATAAGGAGAAGGGCAGAGAGAGAGACAGAGATACAGGGGGGGAGAGACCCATAGAGAGAGACACACAGAGGGGGGAGGAAAGAAAGAGAGAGAAAAAGAGAGGGAAAGAGAAAAAGAGGGAATGAGAGAGACAAGAAAGAAAAGAAAAAAGAGAAAGAAAGAAAAAAGAGAAAGGAAGAAAAAGGAAGAAAAGGGATAGACAAAGAAAGGGAGAGATGGAAGGAAGGGACAAAGAAAGAAAAAGAAAAAGAGAGAGGGAGGTAGGAGACCATGAATGAGATATATGGATGGGTAGATAAATACATGGAAGGAGGGAAGGAGGGAGAGAGAAAAAAAAAGGAGAAGGAAGGACACAAATCCTGGCTTCAGAAGACTCTTTGAAGCACACAGCAATCTAGGGCTGGCCTGCAAGGGATCTCAGAGGTCATCTAGTCCAACCCCCTCTTCCAGCAGGAGATCCTTACAGAATCATAGAATAGCAGGGTTAGAAGTGTGTGTGTGTGTGTGTGTGTGTGTGTGTGTGTGTGTATGGCTGTCAAAACTCCAAAACATGTCAAGTAGCTCTGGGGAGATCAGTCATAAATTAGAACACTTGCTAAGCAACCGGCCATTAAGCGAGGACCACTTGTATTTGGTTTGCTGATCACATGGTCACCTGGCCATGCCCACCCACACGACCACAAAGACATGCCCACAAACCCATGCCCATCTGGTCATGTGACCATAAAGCCACGCCCATCTGGTCATGTGACCAAGCCACGCCCAGTCACATGACCAGCCACGCCCACAAATTAAGCCACGCCCACAGAACCGGTAGTAAAAAAATTTAAATACCACCACTGTTTTGGTTCTATTTTCCATGGTTTTATCATAGCACACAAATTATATTTGTAAACTCTGAAGTGCTGAACTGTAGAATATATCTAGAAATATGATAGTAGAGGGAACACATATGATGGATGGAAATCACTGAAAGTTGCTGTTTGATGTGTTTTAAATTTAACATTTTAACATTTCCTGTATTTAAAAATTAATCAAACCAAATACTTACAGTCCATAAATTTGTGGTGCAATCTCAAGCCTGTTCAAATGCATGTAGAGTTCAGTGTCATGTTTCTTCAGCAAATGATCTTGGATCTGATTAACTTTTGCAACAATAGCTATTGATGGACCTAAGTCTTGTGGTCTTGCAAACGGAATAGGGGTCATCATAGCATCTTTTTCCTATTAAAAGTGATAAAAACAAGAAAAATAAATTTAATCATTTATTAACTGAGATGCCCATATGAGTTTACAAAAAAATAATCATGACTGTGGAAGTATAAATATATATCTCTTGCAACTGAACATTCTACTAGAGGGAAAGAAAAATTTCCATTTAGGATTCCAGATTTAAAAGTTGTAAGCAGTATTGTTAAATTTATTAATCTATAAAGACTACAAACCAAATATGATAAGTCAACAATATCAAGAGGACATTCTTCCCATTGCACTATAAAAATGCAGCTCGGAGATGCCATGGTATCTAATTTAAAATTCAAATGAATAGATGGGCTAGACTTCCATTCTATTAGGTAGGGTGTGTTTGATTAGCCTGTTCCAGGTAAATGATGGTCTTTGAGGGTTTCCAGACGAGATTGGGTTTTCCCCAGTTTGAAAGAGGCCGTAGTTTAGCCAAAGAATGAGCAGGGGCTAGCCCCTGGACCATATTTCTCATGCAATCTTTTACTTTGTGCCAATCTGGGCTGTTCCTTGGCTTTCCAAGATGCTCAGGATGATGTAGTGCCAGAAGAGAAGCCTGAAGAACAGATGGACAAAGTTGACTGAACAAAGTGTTGCTGACATTACTGGGAAAGTGTTGCTGACATTGTGGCAATAAGGGCAGAGAACAGCTATTTTTTTGTCCTAATTATTCCAAATGATAATGATGTAATGCCTCCATTTAAAGGTAGTCATTTCCATGCCTCCATTTCCTAAAGGTAGTCATTTCTGGTGAAGAACAAGTCACAGGAATCTCTGGAGGTGAGTATATTATGCAATTCAGGTACATTACAAAGCGTTAATTATCACCGTCAAAGCCCTTCATGGCACAGAGACTGATATATGCCCATTCCTGGACAAAAAAGCCCTTCTCATGGTTACCTACAACCTAGTCACCTCCCATGTGGACTACTTAAAGTAATTTAAGTGCAACTACCCTTGAAGAGTATCTTGAAATTTCAGCTGATTCAAATTGCAGTGTGTCATGTCTACTGGACCCTGGTTTATTTTTGGAACTCAAGATGTTGGTCAACACCCTCAGGTACCTATTATCATCTTTGGTGGACATGTATGAGGGCAAGCAAATATTGGACAAAAATACATAAGTGGTTAGAGAAGATGATTAAGCAACACATAGATTTTAAACCAAAAATATTTTTGTTAGGTATAATACCAGAAAATTATGACAAAGGGACTATATACTTAATGTATTGACAGTAGCAAGAATAATATTTGCACAATACTGGAAAAATGAGAACACCCCATCAGATGAAAATATAATCCAGAAAATATTAGACTGTGCAGAGATGGATAGATGGACATTGAAAATAAACGATAAAGAATAATACAATTTAACATGGAACAGGTTTTATCAGTGGTTAGAGATAAGAGGTAGAAATTAGATAAAGAAAGAGTATTGTTGGGATCAAGTAAAATATGAATGTTGTTTATAATTATATGTAAATCAATATATTTAAGAGGAACAAAGATAAGCAAATACAATTATAAATATGATTAGAAATTACTTTGTTATATTATTATTATTGTTATTATCAGTATATGTTATCCTTTTTGTTCTTTTTTTTCTTTCTTTTTTGTAAAATTGTATGCCCAGACATTACACTGTATTGAAAATACATATATAAATTAAAAAAACTTGATCAGAAAAAAAAGATGTTGGTCAATACCTTTAAAATCCTACATGACTTGGGGCCTTTGAAGGACTACCACTCCCTTGTTACATCTACCCAGTGCACCAGAATAGGAAGGCATAGCATGTTGTGGGTCCTATCTATTAAGGATATACATCTGATGGGACAGCAACATAAATTTGTTTAATAAATAAATATATGAGGGACCACTCTTTTCCAGTTATTTCTGCCCATTTGATGCAATTAGACAGAATGGATGCACTTCAAGTCCCATTAATTAGGCAATATTGTCTTTTGGGATCCAAAAAAAATGCCCTCTTTGCTACAGAACCTGCTTTTGAAATTACGCCACAAAGATCTATATGGATAAAATCTGATGATGTTCAGAAAGCTGTTAAAATCTGGTTAGTTTTCTAGCTTTTTGTGGCAGAATGAAAAGTAAGATCCTTGGGTGGTTTCTTTTTGCTTATGTTGATCTGGATTATTTTTTCATTTTGCATTTGTAAGCCACACAGAGTTGCTAAAAGTTGGGCATGAAGACAAAAACAGCAATTGACGCTGAAAACTGCATAAAGATTACTAATCTCTGTCTGAAAAAGATTGTTTTAATGTGGTACAGTACACAGGAATAGGGAACTATAAAATTTGTTTACTATAAACCTTTTAAGTTGTCCAAGACTAAAATCTTCAAAGATATTATTACAACATATTTTAAATGGTATATTTACTCTCATTCAATATTATACGTAATTAATTAAAAATATTTTTATATATGAATTTTTATCAACAGGTACCTTTTGACTTTCATGCTCATAGGTTGAAAACCAATGTTCCGCTGTTTTCATTAGATGGGTGAACATTGCACTGAAAGAGATTACATCATTATATAAGAAAAATAATTGTAATAATCAGAATCATAAATTTAAGAACAAATGAAAATTACTGAACATACTATGCATCATGCTCCAAGTAGTCAGGATTCAAAAGAACGTTCATCTCCTCACTGGAAAAAATACATACATATTTAAAGATTTATTTCTGAAATTTCCTTAAATAACTTTGAACAGAAATACAAGCTAAGTAAAACTAGCCTTTATCATTAAAATTATAATTCCAGTTTAGACAAATGGAGCCTTTACTCTCTCTATAGATCAGTCTTTCTATAGATCAGAAAAAAAAACTAGTTACCTTGTCTGCAGAACAATGAAAGAACTATCTAATTATTCGAAATAACTAATTACTGAATACCACAATATATTATTTCAATACATTTGATCTAGAATAATTGATTACTGTTTGTTCAAAACAAACAAAAAGCTTACCAGACAAATACAATATTAAAACAGTACTTTATTTTAATAAAAACAATAATTTTATTTACCAGCAATTAATCAATTACAATAATTCTTATTCATTTTTTTTGCGGTTAAAACTGTAATATGAAAAGAGAAGCATAATATCCCCAGCGAATGCACCACTGAAAAATACAATACTTTTTTTTCTTCATTAGATCCTGCACCTATTAACCAAATTTCATACATATACATGGAAAGTAATTTGCATCTTGGAGATTCCCCCCCCCTTTTTTTTTTTGCTTCCGGAAAAAGCTCTTTAGGTTAATTAGTATTCAAAATGATATTACTAAGTAATAGTTCTCTTGATATATTGTTTTAACTGCTGTTGCCAAAAATAAATATAATAAACCAATTTATTGGAATTTTAAGACTCCTAGATGCTGAGTATAATAGAAAAGGACTTATTCAAAGTATGAGCAATACAGGATTAAGAGTGATTAAGAGTGTTCCCTTAGCGAACATTCGAAGTTATGCAAAAAGAACCTCCTAGTGTTTATGAACAAGTCCCCAAACTACAGATCTTGTAGCACCTCAGCAATTATTCTCCCTCACGAACAACTGCAGAGGCTTTGCAATATTTGTCTTGCACTTTGCTCACATGGAGGTTAGGAGGGGTGGGCCCCGCCCCCGCTCCTCTGACACTCTGTGCAGGACAAATGTCGCAGTGCCGGGCGAGGCCTGAACACACCAAAATGGAGCTGTGGAGGAACACGGCATAGTTGAAAGGCTGGAGAACAGACAGCTTGCTAGATCTTCACACAATAAGTGACCTGGTGCAGCAGGTTGTGGGGGAATCAATTGTGGGGGACATGAGATATTTCAGTGTGTCAGGGGGCCTTGGATGGTCTTAAGCAGGTGGCTTTCCATCATTAAGCCCCCCCCCCCCCATGGCATTCCCCAACCTGAAATACCTCATATGCACTTAACGAATTGTGCATTTGGTTAGTGAATGTGTGGGTGAAAGGAGGGAGTGATTCAAGGTATGAGATTCACTTCCATGAATCCTCAGGTTATGAATGAAATTGCCAAGCTCCATTACATTCGTAACTTGAGGACCACTATATTAAGTAGTTTCAACATGTAAATCTTTTCAGATTGGGTCTAAAATCTTTCTGAGGACTGAAAATGAAAGCCTATTAAGTTATTCACAAAGTTATATATTGAGCTTATCTGTGAAATGTATGTTTTCTTCTTATGCATATAGGGGTTTTACTATTGTGACATATTTTAAAATATGCTTGCATTTATTTAACATGAAATCCAAACAGCAATATATTAAGTTTGGATATATACTGTACAGTTATGTACAGTTATGTTTTAAGATTTAAAATAAAAAATGATATGTATCGTTATATTTCTTGTACTAGTATTTATTATCTATCATATCTAACTACAACAGTAGAAGTAAGCAACACAGCAATTATATAGTTTCAGAGTTTGGAAAGCTTCATCAATGTTAAAATATGTTCCTTTGTGATTGTAGCATTCTTCAAATATAATAAGTTTTGGTAACTGACAAGTGTAATAGATACTACCCTTGGAGTTCCAAATGCATACTCTATTTTAGTAGCAATGTATTTGTATGAAAAAAAATTGTATGCCTACCTTGGTTGTGCTGCTTCACTTGCATGTAGAAAAGCTTGGTGGTCACAATGCAGAATAAAGACAATTGGTGCTAAAAGTTCATGCATGCCCTACAATTAAAAAGAAAACTCTATATTTTGTCTAGTGTATCAGAATTTATCAACTCTGTATTACTGAGTGCTTTTAATATAGATTACATTTTAATCAGTATTTACAGTATTCTCAAACAAATGGAAAAACCACAGGATTTTAAAATAGCAGAGTATCAATGAGTTCACCACCGAACACTTACATTTAGATCTATTTAAAACTCTTTTTTTTTGTTTAAAAAATACTATTGTGAATAATAACAGCTCTACAATGAAGAAAGGCCAGAGCCACTGAGGTTTTCATTGAGGATCAAGACTAGTACCTAATCAATGATTACTAGTCCTGATGTTAGTATAGAGTCTCCTCAATGGTAGGAAGTTACATTTTATAACAATTGCAGAGAATGATAAGTGAAGAATATCAACATCCATGCTGTGAAATAACTGAATTAACCTAGTTGACCACTATATGACACAGACTGATGGCCTATATAAATATTTTACCTGATTACAGTAGTCCAGGCTTGTCAAACTTGATATCACAGAGGGCCGCATCAGGGTTGTGTTTGACTTTGGTGGGCCAAGGTTGGCATGGCCAGGATGAGCAAGGCCAGTTCAACATCGACATTTGTGTCAGAGGCACCTGTGCTGACTCAAGTGCTCAGCCAGCAAAAATGGGTTCCTGAGCTCCGTTTTCACCCATGATAGTTTCCTGCAACATCTTGCAAGTGAAAACAGAGCTTGGGAGGGACGCCCGCGGCCCTTCCAAGCTCCGTTTTCACTGACAAAGACACCACGGACTGGTCCTTCACTGTTTCCAGGGAGGCCCCACGGGCCAGATCTAAGCACCCTATGGGCCAGATCCAACTCCCAGGCCTTGAGTTTGACACCTCTGCAGTAGACCATATCTTATGTTCTTACTCCTCATGATTTTCAGTATTTATGTGAATGCACTAGGAAATGTTATATGGAAGTAGATCAGGTTTGTAGTTTGAGGGTGATCTTGCATTCCAAATATGACCTTATCTGCAATGCACAGCACTGCCATTGAAAATAGTTGGAACCCATAGTCCTAGGTTGTTTATATGGAAGAAACATATCTTCCCATATGCATTCTTGATTCCAAGTTCCTTTCAAAACATTGCACCAACTCAAAAGAATTTTTTCCCCCAGTACTGGTAGCACTCATTGTAAAAAATGTCTAAGAAAGATTACTTAGAAACTATAATATTGCATTGCTAGTATGAAGTGAAAAACTTTTTATCATATTCATATTTCAGGAATTAAGTTAATGAATGTACTGTAGACATTTGCTCTGTTTTATTTCTGCTGTTAGTTTCCCTTTGCTTTTATTATCTGCTACAGAGCTTTTATTGCTAATAGTTCCATAGATAGATAGATAGATAGATAGATAGATAGATAGATAGATAGATAGATAGATAGAGATAAATAGATAGATAGATAGATAGATAGATAGATAGATAGATAGATAGATAGATAGATAGATAGATAGATATGGTATTCAGCTTTGTTCAGGTATTTTCCCACGTCATTATAGTTGTGCTCTTAAAGTTGTAGCAACGTTTCGGCAGAATCTCATCTGCCATCGTCAGGCTTCTGTATTGTGTTCATCTGTACACCCACACACACACATAATTGTTATGATTTTTTTAATAAAATACTTAACCTTAAAGTATACATCATAACTGATGTATATTTTCAGTATTATTAAATTTTGCTTTTGCCAATAATGTGCTCAGTCATAAACAAATTTTCCTTAACAATGTTTAGGAAGAAACTGCTTACAAGCAGATAAACTATTATACAGGACAAATCTTCCAAAGCAAAAATCAGTAACTATTGGGTATATCTATATCCTACAATTCCTTTGAGAATCAAAGCATTGTTAAAAAACAAAGTGTGACTGCAGACACTAAGCAGCACTATTCATTACTGATTAATTCAAGCAATAATCAAATACATTAGAAACTTTTCTGTTATCATTAGCTATACTTGCTTAAAATTTATCACAATTGCTTGGCACAAGTTCTGTACTAATTTTGACATATAATATTTAGTTTTGGGATAATATAAAGAGGATGTAAGAATGGAGTAAGGGTTATTTTAGTAGTACTTCTGATTAATGAATTAAACGAGATATAAATTAGAAAAAGGAAAACTGGAAATGAAATTAGAATTTCAGTTTTTTTTATTTAAAATTCTTAGCACAATAGCCAGCACACAATGTTAGATTTTTAAAAAAATATGTTGTAAATTTAAGGTTTCAATGATAGTTCCATTGGGCTTCTTTCTTATACTTCAACAGTGTGTATTGGAATAAAATGACATCATTGTACTATCCTTTCTTTCTTACTTTTAGAATCCTTTCAAATATTTTATGATGTTTAGGGATGAAAGACTTGCTGGAAATAAAATACACTATTTTGTATGACCAGATGATAATTTCAAATTGTGCAATAAGCCAAATATTCTGATATAGGCAAGAAGTTATAAAAAAATTATAAACTATGTTCTCAACATATATGGATGATTCTTCAAATTTAGAACTGTAATTTTACTTGATTCAAAACAGCATTTAGTTAAATTAAATCATCTTTAGGGACAAGCATATTTTAAGGTTAAACAACTGCCTGCGTCATTGTAATAAGGGTGTCTGTGTGGAAGTTATATCCCAAAAGAATTTGGAAGAGAGATCCTTTACTTGTAGATTTGATACAAGAAATTAGCTACTGATTCTCCTTAATGTTAATACCTAGAAGTATCCTTCAGATACAATTAAGAAAACAAATCTAAATTCATTGTACTTTTCCAATAAAATGAAAACATAATAGCATGCCAAAACAGTTTAGCACAAAATTAAACAAGTCATTTTCCTGCAAATTTGAATAAAAATTTGCTATTTATGTGAGGTTGTTTACAGATTCAAAATAAGAAAACAGCAAATATGGCAGGTACAAAAATGTGGATACCCTTCCAACTGATTTGGTCTTTTCTTCTACTATAAAGTTGCTAATAATGCTAATAATAGAGCTAAATTAGGCTCAATCACTTTTTAATATAGGGCCTAAAATTAGCCAGGGAAAGACAATTCCACAGATAACAAATATTCTGATCTCCTTTTCCATTCAGACTGTAACTGTGGTTTTGTCTATTTTTAACAATCAGGAGGCCTCTAGGCATCTCTCAGAGTATGTGCAAGTGAAAATAAATCATAATTACAAAGTAAAGACTTTAAAATAAAATAGTTGAAGGTTTCTGGCTAGCAATTTTAACAATAAGAAACATTTTCACAAGAGAGGATGCCTAAACTTTTTTCAAAGAATTGAATTGAAAAAGAATTCAAGCGACTATTGAAATTAGAATTATTAAAATTTTAGAAAAATTAAACTTTACAACATGGAGTGTATTTGAAATGTATAATTAATTTAATATCTTGATAAATTATTGGATGATATAATAATATTTTGGATAATATCAATACATTTAGTACAGAAATAAAATGCTTATCCATGAAATATATGACCTGATAGCTCATTATTTCAGAGATATTTCTTTACCAGATATCTCATGCCTTTAACAATGGCAGTTATACTGGAATGTATTGGAAAAGTTCTTAAAAATTTGGAAAGGTATTCAAATCTATATCTCCTTGAAACTAGCCCATGCTGAAAATTTAATGAAATTTTGTATTGTCATAAAATGACTTACAATAAGTTTCTGTCATAAAATGTTTTATAAAATTAACCAAATTTCAATTCCATGGGAATAACAGATCCTGTATATTGTAAGTTAGCTCATCTGAGGTACACTGGTTGAAAATGTCAAATTAAAAGTTATAGATATGAGAGTTTTAATAATATACATATAAATCCTTATTATGGAAATTAATATTCATATCTTAATGTGCAAAAATACTAAACAATTGAAATGTCCACTACTTTCCACAGTACTTTTACCTCTAGATAAGTCATGATACAGCTCAAAAACAGAAACAGGGAATGACACAACTCAAAAGCAGAAGAAGAAACATTTTCTTCCTTGACAGCAATGTGATCCTACGATCACAAAACTGAACCTGAAAACTGCTTAATGGATTAATCAAATATGAGCAGATAAAAGAAGAGGTTCATTTGACCAGGCACTCAAAATTCATTAATACCACTTATATAATCTCTTCAGCTTCAGTTAGCTCAGCAAGATATTTCACAAAATGATAACGATCTCATTAATTCAATAAAATTTAACTTTTAACAATATGGTCTATTTTTAGCAGGTCATCTAGTACAACTTAACAGCTTGTGAGGAAATGGATAAGTTTTTTTTTTTTAAAAAATGGTCTGACTACACACACAGTTTTCATGTAATAAAGCATATCCAACTAAGATGAGTTGTTCATTTTAGCAAACATTCTTTTCTTATTTGTTATATGGAAATTTGTCCTATTTGATGAAGTAGTGTGATACTAATATTCTATTTGGCTAAATATGTGCATTCACAAAGGTGTGACCAATAGGGGATTGAATAATCTGTCAAAATACAGACAGATGAAAATGTCATCTACTAATTATTCTGGACTTGTGATAGCCAAAATTTTTGGATTGTTCCTGAGAATTATATTTCAGTCATTTTATTTCAATACCATATTTCAGTCATTTTGTATTATTTAAGGGAGAGACAATTGTTTGGTAGCTTTAGCTCATCCTCATTTGGAAGTAAAAATGATTCTTACATAGACAGATTTTATATTTTTTCCTGGTTGATATGGATACTTTATTTTCTTAAACTATTTCAAGCTTTTTTCAAGATGTAATGAATTTAAAATTGCAAGAAATCCAGCTCATGTTATTTCCAGGAAAACCCAACCCAACTTACACATGCTTTAATTTCTATTAGCAGGAGATTTGACATCAATTTTTTTCCTTTTATCTGTTTCAATTAGTTTTAGCAAAAAGTGCAATGAAGTTAACAAGAAAATGGAAAATAAGTTTCAGCATTACTGAAAAAAAATTGGAGTACTTTACCATGAAGAGGGACAACATATGCAACAATGGCTTGTTTTCTTCATAACACAGCTAAGAAAATGGTTTATTTTTCACTTTCTCAATCTTTATATCCAGTTTTAGAATAATAAAGAGTCTTGCAGTTCAATTAATTGTATGAAGTATAGGAAAAATGTTGAGTCGAAGGTTGCCACTTGTATAATATGTTTCATTACCTGTTTATAAAGTAACTGCTCATTTTCCCGAGCGTAACAGAAGAGAATGTCAGTAAGAATTTTCCTCACATTTTCTTCCTGGAAATACTGCATTTCAGGAAAGCTGATTAACAACAATAACAAAACATATATAGATATATATATAAATGACAGAGCTCAAAATGATTTAAGATTACAATAGGTTTAAATTGTTAGGTTTCTTCCTTTTTTTACTCAATGAACCTACGAGTACACTACTCATTCAGAGTGCTTTGCCATCATACACAATAACATTTATCATATAATCTGTGAACTGAAATTACACCTATATGTGATTTACTTATTTTATATATTACCATACTTCATATGGATTCTTATTTGAGCTAAAGCTAAACAATAGCAATAAGAAGAAATTTCTATGAAACTGCAACACAGAATGATGGGAGTCTGTTTATAGTAATATGAAAGCAGGTTTAGCAAAGATCAATAGAATGTGCTATAACAAGAAATAAAAAAAAACAAAGAATAAAGCAGAAAATATACTGAGAAGATTATTATTCATTTCATTTTGGATGTTCTGAATGCTAGACAGGAGCTGAGAACTGAACAGACTCTCCCATTTTTTCTTAAATTTCAATCATTCTAATCTAGACTAGTGAGAAAATATAATACTAAAAATAAAAATGAACAGGGTAATTTGTTCAGATGGCAATAAGCAACTACCTAAGATGCATATACAAGATTTTTTTAATTTACTAACAACATTTTTTAAAAAAGAACACATTTTTTTCTAAACATATCATGCCCTTTGTCAAAGTAATAGTGCAATATTTTTACAATGGCTCTAAAACTAGCAAAACTATACTTATACAAATTTTAATTCCCCAATTATAACTTAGATATTTATACAATCTTAAACATTCTGAACTGTTCCCTTTTAAAAACAAAAAATACCATCTGCGAACATTTACATGAAAGCATACTCAGATTTTAATTATACATCTAACAGCATAAATATATCTGAAAACTCAGCTTCAGTATAGGCACACAATATAAAGTAATAAAGAATGTCAATGTTTCCTGGGCATTGTTTTGTTACATGCCTATTAATTCTATAAATAGAAAAAGGCATCATACTGAGTTGCATTTTAAAATCCATAGGAACTATTTTCTTATCCCAAATTTCAATATAGAACTATGCTATAATCATAACAGAAAGATACTAGATAAATAGTAATTGAGCTTAATTGGAATTACTTAATGCAATCAGAGTTCTCTCTCTGACAAAATATTTTCCGGATCTGAATTCTAGCTTTGATAAGTTCTTTAACAGGAATGACCCAGGGCTACAGAGATAAAAGTACATTCACAATGATAATAAGGAATACTTAAAGAAGGAGTCTTTGACAGTAGGAAAGTTATCCACAAAAATAGCAATGCTAAATTCCTCTAGATGAATGACATTTCTCACTAATTACACATTACTTTTTATTGATTAAGTGTTAGGAATTACAGAAAATCATCTGTTCAATCTTGTACTATAAACATAATTTAATCATAAGATCTGTGAGTTCCTCTCATTCTTTTTTTTTATTTCTCACAGAAACTCTTTTAAAAATACATATAATTATATTTTAATGTAACGTTCTAGTACTGATTTAAAATAAAAACAAATTACATGAAAAGGCAAATTAGAAAATAAAAAATATTTGGCTATGCAGGATAGGCAATCTGGTTCTCTGAGCAACAATGCATCTGTGGGTCTCTCCCAGTATCCCTGCCTCATCTGATTTTAATATTTTTTTTATGTTTGCAAAACACAGCTAGTGGCTATGCTGCATAAAATGTCAACATCTATAATAAACGTAATAAACTCATATAAAATAAAAATGTCTGACAGAAAAAAAGCTGTGGTAAACTAGGGTAGTAAAGAAAAAAATAGAAGGCTGCAGAGGATTTGACAAAAGATCACTAGTTTGTATATTGGGAAGTGAACATTTTATAACTAGCTATACCCCTCATCCTTCGTGGCAGCCATTTTAGAGCAAGCCGGGCTTCTGATATCGATTGTTTTTCCAAAATACATGTTTAAAAATCCCTAATTATTCCACTAATCAAAAAAGTTTGTATGCAACTGATTTTTTGTTTGTTTGTTTCACTGAAATACATATTTAAGTTATGAGGAAGTAGTTGCTGTTCTTTGAGGCATGGAAGGAAAAGCATATAGCTACAATATGACCTATAAGCCAAACTTTTCTTTAAACCCATATAAGTGCTGACTAGCAATTCTAGCTGTCCATATCTACATAGCCCCATAACTGGGAAATGTATTGTATATAAATGGAATATTATAAAATGTTTAATAATGATGCTTACGTTCGTTTTACATCTTGTTCAATCATGCTTCGAAGTTCTTTGTCCTGAAAAAATTTGTTCCAAAGACTCTGAAAAAGGATAAATTATTATTTGAAAGATGGTCAATGATGATAGAATTCATCAGGGACGAAAAACCTCCAAATTTGAACTGGTAGGGCATACCACACCTATATAGTTACTAGGAGCTGGAAAAAAACTTGAGGACACATAATCAATAGAATAGGCCAATCCAAGAAAGAAACCATTAGAGTCCATTGTTATAGAGAAAAGGACTTTTACTGGAAATCAAGTGAAAAAAGAATTCAAAAGAATTCAAGATCTGAGGCATTAGGTGTGAAAATCACATATACAAAGTTATAGCAACATTCCCACCCACAATAGCTCAAACTGGCCATCCATCTGAGATGTGTATAATGTCATGTGGAGCATCTTCAGGTGGTGATTCAGACATCTGGCCATTGACCTTGGCCTGGATAAATAAGATGCTGCAGCTGCACAGTAAGCAAGTAAGCATAAATAAGAAAGTTTTTCCAAGTTTTACATTTCACCAACTCAAGCCTCCAGCACTCTTCCCCTCCACAAAGCCCAATTTATCCTCCCTCCCCCTGTTACTATGGCAGCCAGAAAGTCAAGCAGAAGATTCTTGAAGGCTGACACCATCCCATTTTGCACATAGAAGTGATTTTCTTATATATAGGCCGTTTATTAACCCACCCTTTTCAATCAAAATCTCAGCTATGTCTGTCGTAATGCTCACATTAAGCCATCAATGTCCTTCTAAAAATCAAACATTAAAAACCCTGAATTATATGATTTGCAAAAATTACAAATATTCCACTGCTATCTGCTAGAAAGAATGAATATTTAAATTTTTTTTGGGGGGGAAGGAATTTTAACTAATTAACTGAATAAACTGCTTGCCGTTGTTACAATTTTAAAGTATGTCTGCACAGGTAATGTATCTGCATGTATATATGTGCATACATACTGCATCCATATATGTATATCTATATATTTATGTAGACATAAGTGTGCCTTTTGTCTAATCCTCCCTCCCAGCTGCTGATACTGTTGCACAATTGTTTTGTTCAGGAATAAAACAGCATGACTGTTTTGTTCAGGAACATTTATTTGTAAGTTTAGCTATAAAAATTTTTATTTTAATATTTCTGATTTTGGTTTTCTTAAGCTTTTTACTATAGTTTTATTTTTATTTATTTATTTATTTTTGTCAATTGCTTACAAGATAATAGGTATGAGTAAAAACATAGTTATGAATACATGGATACATATAAGAAAAAATAAATAAAAGAAACAATAGGACAGGGACGGTAGGCACGTTGGTGCGCTTATCCATACCCCCTACAGACCTCTTAGGAAAGGGGTGAGGTCAATAGTAGATAGTCTAAGGTTAAAGTTTTTAGGGTTTGGGGAAGAAACCACAGAGTCAGGTAGAGTATTCCAGACACTGATCACTCTGTTGCTGAAGTAGTATTTCCTGCAATAAAGTTTGGTGCGATTAACCTTGAATTTGTATCTATTGTTTGCTCTTGTGTTGTTATGGTTGAAGCTGAAGTATTCATTGACAGGTAGGACATCGCAATGTATGATTTTATATACTATACTTAGATCGGACCGAAGGCGGCCTAGTTCTAGATTTTCTAGGTCTAGAATTTTGAGTCTGGTGGCATAAGTCATATAGTTGTAATATATTATTTATTCTAATTTAAAAATGATGCTTGGTGGGACTGTGCAATAATTTTAAAACATTTTTAAAATTATTGCTGAAGCCTGAAATGTTTACTTATGATGAGCCTAGATTCTACCCTTATCATAGCACTTTTTCTTTCTTTCTAGCTCATATCAGTATGAGCAAAAATTAAACTTTCTGTAAAATACTGACTCTAAACTGATCACATTTGCACATATCACTATGTAAACATGGTTCCTATTCTTCAATGCATAAAATCGTATTGTACTACAGAATTTCTAGCTGGATCTACATCACAACAGAAAATTGAAGGACAAGGCTTATTCTAATCTTTTATGTGAGAAATATAATAACCTTAATTATGCTTAACCTAGAAAGAACTACAGCAAAGGCTTGAATATAATTTATGAAGTCTGTTCAGCTGTCTGTTTTTCTTTCCTTACAGTAACAGGAAACACTGTTCAATATTATTATCTGTACTTCATTGGCTACTGTTGGCATTAAATTAGACAAAACATATTTCACTGATAAGAATGGAAAACTAGCTTAGTAGTGGCATTAAGTTACTCTGTTCCAAAATTAAGCAAATAGTTTCATTTGCTGACAAATAACAAAAAGGTTAAAACGTCATTAAATGTTTCTGGTTACATGTCATTTTTATAGTAATAAATTGCTCTCTAGGCAATCAATCTCTATCTCTGTGTGTCTAATATGAAATACTATTCAACAGGCAACATACCAGCATTATTGATTACACTTGATATTCACTAGAAGAATTAATCATAGTACATTCAGCTTTTTTAAAAAAATGCTGCAAAAATGTTTAAATAAAAAAGCTAACTTTATTTAACTAACTTTATTTTAAATGACTAAGAACAGGTGGCAACTCTCTCAGAGAATGAAACAAAACCCTTGCTCTGATCTCTTGCTCATTAAGGCTCTATCAGCAAAAAGTGAATGCAGAGTATGTTTCACTTCTGGATAAGAGAATCTTCATCCTTGTTTTCTCTTTAAAAATTGTCACATCAAGTGCACTTGATTACTTGAATAGTGGACCTTAAGGTGAATTTGAAGAGCATGTTCATAAAGAACTCCTCTATTTTAAGAATGAAAAGTTTATGTATAGCTTATGTACCACTTTATATTTATGTTAGGTAAAGAGACAGTTTAACTGACAAAGATGACATTTAATAGTGATGTAGTAAAAATAATGGGTTGATGGATGGATAGCCTCATGGAAATAAATGGGTTCAGGTGCTGATTCTTAGAAAATGAAGATACAAGATAAATAATAAACTGTAATAATTAATTCCAGTTTCTAAAACAATGTTTAAAAAATGAATTGTACCTGATATGTCATTATCTATTACTGAACAATTCACTCTAAATAGTCATAACCAATTCTAATATTAATAGTCAAAGTTACAAATAATTCTAGCTAAAAAATTTCAGAATTTAGCCTGGTAATTTTCACAAGTTTAGAAGATTGAATATAGTACACCTTGGTATGTTTTTTCATCTTAGTCCTTATAGCCATAGAGGAAGTCCTATATGTTCTGTTCTTATATAAAGTTTGAAAGTTTTAAAAACACCTAGATTCTTGTTAAATGTGTGAATCCACAATATTTTCATTTCAGAATAATTTTTCAGAGAGAAAATAAAATCTGCTCCTAGTGGGAGAAAAATACATTTATCTGCCACATTACAATTCAAAATACTTACAGTCTTATGACTACATGGTCAACGTGACACTACAAATTTAACAATTAGAAAAAACTGGGATCCAATATTTTCAGTATTATAAAGCTATATGCTTTTGAAAACATATAATAGTAAAAAAATAAAACTTCTATGCAGATGTTCCTTAACTATGATGAGATTTAAATTGTGATACTCTGTCTTCCTTTTGAAAAGCTAGTGAAAAAAAATCCTATCCCCAGGGATCATTCTATTGCTCCAGTAATTGAAAACATGGAATAGCATATAGGATGTTAGTAGGCAAAATAATTCCATAAATGATGTTTAAAGGACTACTTTTTGTTTAAGTGTCTACTTATATGCATGCAACTGTTGATATAAAACTGCCTTTTAATTTATTTTGACAACCAAATATATAATTGTAGAGATGAGGAATTATAAATATGTTGTCTAGTTTTATAAAAAAACCAAATCATTCACTTATTTTACTAGCACCACAAGTGGCTTTAAGGAATAATGTTATTCTATATTTTACAAAATTCTATTAGACACCTGCTTTTTTTTAACTGCACATCATTGTGAAGACAGCATTTTTTAAAAAATAATCTAATTGCAGGGTTCATTCTGAACAATTCCTATTTTTGGAATCAAAATATGATATGAAAATATTACAACTAATGAGAAACAGTGAGATTTGGGGAAAGTTGTTCACAGTGCAATATATGCCACCCAAACAGAGCTGCAAGGTGGTTCCAAATTTTATGTGCTTTAAATATTGTCATATATAAGGAGAACAGGTAAAGAGCTTAGCATCCCCAAATTCAGGCAAAACAGCAGTTGAAAAACTACCGTAATCTATTATAAATGTGTTTTCTTTAAATGTGCACACATCACTTATAATTTCAAATACTACTGATCTCAAGTATTTCTCTGTAATGTACTGAAGAATGGAAAGTTACAAGACAGTAATTTTGCCACTCTTGTAAATGGTGGCATATTCAATGATTTCTCTCAGGGATTTTTTTATTGCTTTTGAGAGAACATTTAATCTCAAAGCCAGATTTTTAAAAATGCTAAATGTGGAAGATTTTCAATAACTTTTACCTACTGGAATTATACATTCAACATAATTATTGGATTGTGTATTGTCCAATATATTGTACACTTCTTTGTATTCCAAAGTCCTGCTATGTTGCCTCACTGTGGTAGAAGATTTGTTCCTGGGTTAAGAATAACATTACTTGATGACAAATGTCTACAATCCCAGCATGATCACTTCATTGGGCAACAGCAATATAGGAAAGTGCTGGAGGCCAGTAATAATGACAAAAGCATTATTTTGAAAGCAGGTAAATTATTCCTGTATTTTACACTGATGAACAATAAAAGTTACTAATGATATGGTGCCAAATGATAGATGGCAATCAACAAATTATTAAGGAAGAACTGGGACTATAAATAAATGTTGCCATATAATTTGACATTATAGTTTACAAACCGATCAAAGTAATCGAAGTGTGTCTGGTTTTATAAATAGTATAACAAAATGCAGCTATGGTCACAGAAATTGCCATGAAGGAAAAATCCCAAATCCTTGCTTACCGAAAATAATTGGAATGGGGAACACAGTTGCCAAGTGATGTGATTATAAGGTGCAATATCATGTGACTTATAACAGTAGTCTCTGTTGCTGTTGTTAGATGAATCATAGGGTTAGGGTTATAATATATAATCATAACATCCCACAGTTTTGTGATCACTGTTTGAGACTTCCTGCTTGCTTTCCCATTGCTTGTTGATAGTTGACAACAGAAGTTGCAAATTGTGATCTTGGAGGACACCATGACATAATTGGGAGATAGTTGTCAAGAATCTGAATCACAATCACGTGACTGCAGTGATTGCAACGACTGTGACTATAAGGACCTATCGTTCAGCTTTGTCATAACTTTGAATGGTAGCTGAGAGTAGACATTAAGCAAGGATTCCCAGTATATGGAACATAAGAAGGCTTAATATGGAAAAACCTAGTATAGTGAAAGGTGAAATAAATCAACTGCAAATTGGGAACAACAAATTAAAATTGACTAGAATTGGTTGTTTTCAGGTAGTTGTGTTTACTATAAGGAAATCAAAAATAAAGAAGTATTGCTTTAATAGGAAGTGTATAACAAGAACAGTACTTGGCTACAATGCAATCATGACTAATCATGACCAAATAATATCAATTAAACTTTTTGGACAATCAAGATGTCAATATGGTTGACATAGTTAATATGGCAATTATCCAAACATGCTTCAATCACAGATACAGAAGAAAAGGAGGTTGATGAATTTTATGACCATAATATGCAGCTTATGACTGGAATCTGGAATGAAAAAAATTGAAAAAAATAAGGAGAAAAATATAGTTGGATAATATGGCCTAGGAGACTGAAATGAAGCAGGAGGACAACTTGCTGATTTCTATGATGGAATGTAGTAGTTTAAATTCCCAGAAGGGAGAGGGTATATGCCAAAGGAATAAGAAACCATTCAGTCCACATATTTTGTATGAAAGAAGATGAAGACAGAGCTTTCCTTATAGTTGTCAGAGTATATGATAGATGCAGATAGTAGAGTGCTTTAATTTGGCAGGATTCTGACTATACATGTGGAAATAATAAAGAACTCAGTTTGAAACAATCATTATATGTCATTCTTTGTTTTGGGGTTTGACACAAGCCAATAATAGTCAGTTTAAGCAACAAAATCAATGCCTATATATGTGGACGTTATCAAGTGTAATATAGGTTGTTCTCACCTAACAATGGTAATGGACAGGAATTTCTATTGCTAACCATGATTTTAAACAGCAGTGATGGTATTCAACCAGTTTGCACTGGATTGGGCAAACCGGTAGCAAGAATTTGGTGTGGGTCGCCGAACCAGTAGTAAGCTCTGGCTGGCCACGCCCCCGATCCGGTCGCCCTCCTGCCCGATGCCTGCTTACCCGCCCACCTGACATTCACCTAAGGTATTTCCCCCCCCCTCCCGACAATCAACTGTGCATAGAAAAGCTGTGCCGGAATTCCCCTTGCTGAGGCTCAGGAAGGCAAAAAATGGAGGGAGGAGCTCAGGCCCCCTCCATTTTTTGCCTTTCAGAGCCCCAGAGGAGCCTTAGGGAAGCAAAAACACCCCCTAGAGGCTCTTCTGAGGCTAGGAAGCTCCAAAAACGGAGCTTGGAGGGGTGCTGCGCGCCCCTCCCATGCTCTGTTTTTTTTCCTTCCTGAGCCTCAAAAGAGCTTTAGGGGAGCAAAAACGCAGCCCAGAGGCTCCTCTGAGGCTAGGAAGCTCCCAAAAATGGGTGGGGGTGGCAAAAAAGCAAAAAAAAAAAAGCCACACCCACCCAGTCCCATGGCCATGCCCACGAAGCCACGCCCACAGAACTGGTAGTAAAAAAATTTGAATCCCACCACTGTTAAACAGTGTTGTCACATGATTATGTGACTTCACAATGTCAGTTCCAGAACTTCTGTTAAGTAAAACTCATGTGTTATTAAGCACAACATCATGGGACCACCATTATGACCTCTTTCCAACTTTCCAATTGAGTTTTGCTTGTCGGAAGCTGGAAGTGAAGGTTGAAAATTAGAATCATGTGACCTCAGGATACTGCAACTGTAACTGTGAGCTGGACAATGAGAGCACAGATAACAATCACATCTCTAAAAGAATGCTGATCATAAGTATGGGGACCAGTCATAATTATCACTCATTCAAAACTTACAATGAATGAAAGTGTTCATCACTCATTCTAAATTTTAACTGTGCAATCTTTATTCCTTAGATTACCTTGCTGGGCTTATATTCTCTTGATATAGCTTCTTGGGATTCTTGGCTACCCATTTTTGAAACATTCACTACTATGATGAGGTAGTACAAGTTTTAAGGATGGGGGAATCAGGGGTGTATTGATCCAACAAAATTAGTTCTTAGTGTTTTATTACTTTTAATAGACTTGCAATATGCCAAGAGAATCTTGCAGTGCAATAGCTTAAATGCTTAATACATAAATAAACTTTTAAATCACATTTTAAAAAGAATTTTATGTAGTCAAAAAATACAAATTCAACCTAATTACCCCTTCATCCTGTGAAAGTGGGTTGTTGATCATTAAGTCTTGTTGTCCAGCTTTCCGAGGGTTTGTAATATGCTGTAGATAGGAAAAAGGCATTACTGTACTGCACTTAAGGTATAATGAAAATATGAACTCAAAAATAAATAAATTTCCTTTAAGCTTTACTTACAATTTCTTTTACATTATTATATAATGCTCTTAATTTTATTGTTTTTGTAATCCAATGATTTGTATCAGAAGGGAGAACATTCAAAAATAGCTGTAAAGTTAAACAAAACATGGGTCAGAAAAATAAGCATCATTTTTAACTTTGAGTCTAAAAATTTTTTTTCTAGAAGTGTGAAAGACATTTATTTACAATGGATGTAGAGTCATTTAAATTCTGTGAAATATTTTTCATATAAGAATACTAAAACAAATTGGCTATAATACTTAAACACATTATTTTGTCAATCACTTTTTATGATTAATTGGGAAATGATTATTTATTTAATTAATAACAACAATAAGCTGCTTCAACATATTTATCTGCCAATCAAAGCATATAAAATATCTAACTATTCTTACCATATATTGTTCCTTTTCTTTTATAATTTAAGTGATAATTTTAAATGTAGAACTTAAAGTTTTCAGATTCCTTATCTTTTTGAAGCAAACATAATCACTTTATACTTCCATGCAATTATGGATTCCAAAATATATAAATTAAATAAAAGTACTGATTTATATAACTAAAATGAAATAACATAATTTAACATAACGTAACATAAACATTTAAAGAGGTTTCATATGAGAATATAATCCTTGAATTCTGTTGACCCTTATATAGAGCCAATTTAGTGTTGTTAGTTGCCTAAATTTGTGTGTATAGGTGGCAATAAAAAAAATCCTCTGTGCTTAAACTCATTGAATGGTCTTGATTCTTTGCACCTGATATGCTGGACAGAGAGACAGTGACTGGCTGAAAGCCACTCAGCTAGCTTTCATTCCTAAGATAGACCCAAAACTCACAGTCTCCTAGTCTTCTAGGCTGGCACCTTAACCACCACACCAAACTGTCAAAAAGATTAAATACTGGAGAATTATGTTCATTATATTTACTTTGAATTAAATGTAAATTTATGAAAATTAAATTTGTTTTTGTTCTGGAAGTAATCATTGTTTCTAAAAATGTGGCCTCAAATTGCCATTAAAGTCTATTACTCAGATCCAACTTTAGGCAGTGGGCTGGACTAGAAGATCTCTCAAGAATCCCTTCCAAAACTACTGTATGATTCTATGAGTCTATGGTAGCTAGCCTGGAATAATACATTCACTCTTGCTTTAAATTAGGCACAAACATTTCTTCCTTGTGTTTGAGCATCAATCATATTTATGGATTGGCACTCAAGCTTGTTCTTCAGAGTTTCTCCTTCTCCTACTCTCTGCTTAGGATTCTCTCTTCTCTTGACCAACAAGGTTGCTTTGTATTCTTGGAAAATTTATAGACCCAGGAAAGAAATATTTGTATCCAGTAAGAGAGGAATGGCAACTATTGGCCTTTGGGTATTGACCCAAAGACTATTGATAGTCTCCACTGCTTGAATTCAAAGCACGTTTCCATGTGTAATACAGGCAACTGTGGGTTTTTTAATTTCAGCTTTAGTATCTCATAATGACTGCTTGTTTCATAATGGTTTCACAGAAGTTGCTGGTTCTGAACCCACTTGTAATTTAGGTATTAGAAAATTACTAAAAACATCACAAGACAAGCATAAACTTTTAGTTGGATTTTAATTTTCTTAACACTACTTACTATTTCCATAAGGCCACCTTCTATTATATAAGGGATAAAAAATAACCTTTTCTATCTCTGCATATTTCTTTTTAGTCTGTTAAAATAACCAGCTGATATGTGCTTTACTGACCCAAAATATTTATTAAAATATTTTTACTTTTCTAACATATATGTGATTGTTTACATTAAAATAAATCTATTGTAATTAATTTGAATTAGACTGGTAATCTTTTTCTACATTTTATAATATTATTGCCATTTTTGCTTAAACACAGCTCCAAAATCTGTTGTGTATGCCTGGATATCTATGAAAAGTCTGTTTACTTCTGGGCCTATTTTGAAATATATGTGTGTTTTGAATATCTAAGTGTATGGTATATAGTAGAATGGCAGGAATATTGTTTGTAATATAGTAGGATAAACCTTTCTTATAATATTATAATACAGCCACTACTACTTACATTTGACTACCATAGATATTTCACCAGATACGTTGCATTTAAGTATACTTTTGAGATCAGTCAAGTATTTTGTTGAAACAAATATTCAATCATCATTCCATATATCTGCAAGTTATCTTTCAAAACTATCCATTTTTTATTTCAGCAACAGTATTTCAAATTAGTACCTGTCTTGTGCATGGTAACAGCTCATAAGAAAACCAGACTGTAATTTCTTGGAAAATGCTACAATTCTTTACACTAACAATCTTCAAGTGCATCAGGTAATGTGGTGATTTATTACAAGTACAAGCTGTAAATAAGTATTTTCTTCTTACCTTCCAGCAAACACTACGGAACCTGCTGCTTCTCAGCTGCCCATTAATCCCCTTCAGCCGTATTGTTGCCAAGTAATTGTTGTTTACAAATAATTCTTCCCATTCTTTACTACATGGAACAAACATAAGAAAAGAACTTCTTAAAATTATTATTAAAGACTTAGCTAAGTGAGAAGCACTAACAAAGTAATTTGGGGTAAACAAAAGAAAAGGAAGTTTTAAATGTATATATTTAGCACTGTACTATTTCTAAACGCATGGTTGTCTTTTTGGACACATTTCTTCCTCGAATTTAATGAATATGTAGATCACTGTAATTATGCCAGCAACTGAAATTCATAATGTCTGTGGAGGCTATTCCATTTCCTCTAAAACGTTAGCAGTGCAGCTCAGTGAATAAACAAAAATGAATATTAATACAAGCACATTTGGGTTTCACCCATAGATAAAACAGTATCTATTTAAAAAGACACCTTACTCCAAAATTATGGATCAGAGAAGTATAGCATTCACTGATAGTTCTTTGCATGATAGATTTACTTAAATGAAGCTTCTTTTCTTCATGTTATCAAGATGGGCAGTTAAGAATCATAGAAGATGACTTCTGTTAACTTTTAGCATTATTTACTGTTGCTATCTTTTTTACTTCTTTCTACATGAACAGTTTTAAAAATTTAACAGGTGCTAGCTTTTTTTTTTAAAGAAACCTGAAATAAAACCCCTCACTGTATAAACTGTTAAAAGCAAGCTTGAATACCTTGCAGTACCTACGGCTGGCTAGATAAACAACCTAAATATGCCTCCCAGGCACAAAGACACCAGGGGCCTAACACCTGTGCTTCATTAATATACAAGTAAATCTACTCTGCTGGGAAACAATTGGAAATTAATTGTCTCAAACCATTTATAGAGAATTTGAATACAAGAATGAAACTGTATTTCCTTTATTTTTCACAGAACACTATCACTCATGAAACTGAAATGGTTCAAAGATTTTTTTAATTCATTGTCAAAGATGAAATGAGCAAAACAAAACAAAACAAAACAATTTATCAGGTATGTATGTAAGTAAAACTAAAAGAATACTTGATGTTTAAAAGGTACAAGGTGATTTTACATATTTACCAGAATATTACCTATACAGTTTGGCAGCAGCACCTAGCTAATTTTGGATAATGAAGAAAGAGCTAAATAGAACTGATTAATATTTTGTTGGGAGATCAAACAAAATATGTGTCTGCAAGCTGGATGGGAAAGTTAAAAATATGCGGAAGACGGTAGCAAAGAACTTCCTTATTTTTGCCATGAAAATCATCAAGGTATTGTATTCGTGTAGTACATTTTAAAAACATTGTTTCTTCTTAATCTATACTGTATTACTCTTATCCAGGGATGGGATTCAAATTTCTTAACAACCGGTTCTGTGGGTTTGGTTTAATTTCTGGGTGTGGCTTAGGGGTCATGTGACTGGGTGGGCGTGACCAACTCAATGTCACTCACGTCAAGGGGTGCCTTGCCTGGCCCCTCGCCTCCCAGCCATTCGTTGTCACACCTAGCCTCAACTTATCTATAGTTTTTTTTAAATGTTGTTCATCTTTTTTTGACTTTATTATCTATGTACTATGGATGAAACATTTCTTTGAAAACTCACAATTTTGAATAGTGTTTTGAGTGACAGGAACTGTTGTGGATGGAAGTAAAGTACACATGGACCTATGAAGCACTGAGTCAAAGCAGCAGCTGCTAAGCACAAGGATCAGGGCTGAAGACCTACTATGCATACAGTGCTCTCTGTTACTGTTCAGACAGAAAATTCTTTATTTTCTAAATTGTTTGTTATGGAAAAAAGAATTAATGTGAGTGGGTTATGTTTTGTGTTGTTTTCCTTAGCAATTACATAAGAAGCAGAGGTGGTATTCAGCAGGTTCTGATCAGTTCTGGAGAACCGGTAGCACAAATTTTGACTTGTTTGGAGAACTGGCAAATACTACCTCTGACTGGCCCCGCCCCCATCTGGTTTCTGCCTCCCAGGTCCCAGCTGATTGACTGCGTTTTCTTTTGTTGCCCTGCACAGGAGAACGGAGCTGGAAAGCAAGTTAGTGGAGTGGGGAGGAAATGGGATTTTGCAGTAACCTTCCCCCTGGAGTGGGGTGGGAATGGAAATTTTACAGTATCCTTCCCCCGCCATGCCCACCAAGCCACGCCCATAGAACCGGTAGTAAAAAAAATTGAATCCCACCACTGATAAGAAGGTATTAAAGGTTACTTTTTTAATGCATGCATTATTGCTATTGAGATTTTAAAATGAAATGTATGACATAGTTATCATTTGCTTTGAAGAAGGCAATGGTGTGGATCTTCTCACCCTTTCTTTTTGAATGAAAGGATGTGGATAAGGAAAAAGTGGTTTTATATGATTTTTTTTCAGTCAGCCTTCGGGTCTGGGCCCGGGGACAACATTGATCATATTTGCAGATAATTGTTGGTGGGACTGAGACAATGTTTTCCTGTTTCATTTTTCACTGATGTTCAATATATCGATCATACTGACCTTCTGATGTGTATGTACATGTTTCTTTTTCTTTCTTCCACAGCAATTCTAGATGATTTGGTGGATGACAGAGATCCAATCCCAAAGCCAAAGTAGTAGGGTCCATATGGCTTGACACTTTCTCCACTTTTATTCAACATCCGCATGAGACCCCATTCATCGTTCATCAGTATGGAGACAAGTATTATACCCAACATTGCTCTCAACCCCTGGCTGAATAAGTGATGAGGTGACCTGTTTTGGTATCTAGATACTAGAAAGTTCTGGATGAGAAGCTGACTTAGGCTCAACATCATCAAGACTAAATAGCTTGGGTTTTAAGGATCTATTGGTCATAGTGATATATTATCATACCTCTCACTTGGATGGCAGAACCATAGATAGAAATGATATGTAACTTAGAAGTCCTCCTGGACTCTGAGCCTGCTCAGTATGCAGCTGACAGTCATGACTAGTCATTCTGTGCACCAATAGTGACTTTTCCTGAATTGGGAAACACTACTCATAGTATCTTATCCTCTAGTCACCTTATTTTTGGTTTTTTGGGCACATCTTTGAAAAGCAATCAGAAACTCATATAAAATGCATCTGTGCAAGTAGTTATAAGGCACTTCCTGCTTCACCCATGTACTATCACTCCTTTCTGAGCTGCAAAGGTTATCAGTGAGCTTTTGTGTACAATTAAAATGTCACCATTAAAGTTCTTCATGCCTAAAAACCTGGTTACTTATGGGACTTTTTTCTCCTGTTTCTGTCTGACCAGTTAAGACCTACGTAAGCTGAAAAATTATAACTCTGACTATAAAATACTGTAACACAGGTATAATATATTCCTGATTATTAATACCTGCTAATAAGTGGACTGCTATACTCTGTAACTTCTGAGTAGTCTTGAAAAAAAATCCATTGAGTTGAAGTTGTACAATCTATACATTATTTTCTAGCTTGTCAATATTTTTTAGAATTGGCAGATATACATGGAGAGTAGAATTATTTAGAAAACCTGGAAATTAACAGTAGTAGTCTTGAGATGTTTTCTTTTTGCTATTAGAATGTTAATGTTACTTATGCAGTAAAAAAGGGCTAAATATGTTTTTTTAAACATTCTTCAGTTGGCAGAGTGCTAATCCACATTGTTCCCTAACTTGCCAAGTGAATGTTTGTTTGTTTTTGTTTTAATATTTAAACCCAACATTAGAAATAATGGAAGTACATTTATTATGTTAATATAGATCTAAGTGGGGAAAAAACCCCAAATTATTTTGTCTGGGTAAAATAATCTCAAAGCGTGATTCATCTGTTTCTCAGACAATCATTTAGGTGCATCAGATAAAAGGGAACACATCTTTACTTATTCTTGTAACTATTAAAATATAGAGACAATGATAAAATTGTTCTCCACTTTCAAGCATTATAACTGTTCTTGTTAACATCTATGCAGATTAAGAATACAAAGAAAAGGGAAGAAGGCGGAGCCTCCTCTCTGACGGACTGTAGATCACGACTCTGCGGCTATGGTCCGTGCTCTTTCGTTGGAGAGCCCCGATCATTACAATTAGGGGCTGAAGCTGCTTTGGAGGGGCGGTGGAGTAAGGGGAAGCCGCAAGCCAGGTTGAGGGGAGCAGCATCTCTCCTCCTGGGCTTGGTCTTTCCCCCCCGAAGATGACTGCAGCGGTGGTTTAAAATGGCCACCCCGAAGAGGAGGACTCAGCTGGATTAAGCTTTGTGCAGGAGGGAAGAAAGAGGTGGATAACATCTGAACCTGGACAACTGGGCAATACAACTAAACAAAAGTACCCCGAGATTAAGGTAATATGGAATTTCTCAAAAAAAGAAAAGTGAGCGGCGAAATTACAAAGGGACAGGAAAAAAATAAGAAAATATTTTTGACAGCTAAGCGGGGCTTCGAACCGGGAAAGGAAGAAGCCGGAACTAAAGATTTAACTAAATTGGACTAAAATATTTTGGCAATAAACAGGCATAAAATAAAGCTGGACTTAAGATTGTCAAAAAATAATAATAATAATAATAATAATAATAATAATAATAATAATAATAA